TGTCGGGAGCGGGGACCCGGCCCGGGGTTTCCTGCCCACGTTGCCGTGGCTGGACTGTTTGTAAACAGCCAGGCCGCGAAGGTGTTCCGCGCCGTTGTTTTCTAATGCCTCCCGGTGCCTGAAGCTAGAAAATAGCCTCTTTCCCCTGCTGTCTAAAATGAGTCCCACCAAAAAATAAAAATAAATGAAGTGAGTCCCTCCGCCCCCGCCCCGGCTCGGCGGCCCGCACCTCACCGGCTTCTGGGCCACGACCCGCCCTCGGTATTCATTCCCTCAGCTCCTCTCCTGGGTCTTGTCCTCGAGGAACGGGCGTGGCGTTGGCGCTGGGTCCTCTGCTGCTTGTAGAAGCGTCCTGGTTTCACAGGTTTGCCGGGTGGTTGCTGAACGAGCCCCTCGGTGCTGGCGGCAGGGGCTCTGTGTGCGGGTCTGTGCTGTTCGCCTGTGGATGTGCAGAGCCTCGCGTGGGGCGGTGGGCGGGGCGGCAGGGACGCCGGTGGTGAATCCGTGGGAAGCCCCGCTGGGTCCGGGGCCTCCCTGGCCGGCTGACTGAGCTGGGCAGCTCCTCAGTGGTGATGGAGGTTCTGGTAGATCCTGAGAGGTGTGAATGTAAGACTATGGGAGCGTATGCTTTCAAGTTCGCACCGGGTAGTACGTGCTAGCAAGTGGCGCCCTGGGGCCCGGAGTCAGACTGCAGAGGTCAGCCCCCTGCCTCTCCCACTTGCCATTGGTCTATGCAGGTTGCGCACCATTTCCTTATCGATAAAGTGTGGGCGGTCCTGGCTTCATTGGCTATTGCCAGCACCGGTGGATTAATATCTAAAGTTCTTCAGACGTGTCCGATGAGGGCTGAGCGCCCCGTGGACGTTAGCAGTTTCCAGTAGGAGACGGTTGCTTGGGCGAGATGCAGGCAGAGAGTCAGGTGTGGAAGAAACGACTGCCTGCTGTGTTTGAGTTAAATCTGCTGGAAACTCCGTTTTTATTTATTGAATTAAAATCCACCATTTAATGCAATGCTCAGTAATAAAACACTTACAGAAACATGGATAAATCTTAAACACATCGTGCCAAGTGGAAGAGGCCAAACAGCTACATATTGTCTGAGTCTCTCCATGATGTTCTGGAGAAGCTAAAACAACAGGGACAGGAAATCGGCAGTTGCCAGGGACTTGAAGGGGAGAGGGGAGGAGATTGACTACACCTGGGCACCAGGGAACTGTTGGGGTTAATAAAAGTTTTATATTTTGATTGTGGCAAAGTACATATCTAAAAAGGGTGAATTTTACCACATGTAGATTATATCTCAAAATCTCATTTTTCAACAACAAAGCAGAGCACCCTACCACACCAAGAATAGTTCATGCACAGACAGCCTTCAGACCTCTCCCCCCCTTTAATGGAGAGATGTTGCAGAGCTTGTGAGCATATTGGGCATAACTCTGCCAGCGCCATGTCATAGGCAGTCATGTGAATGTTCAAACCCCATGTTCACAATCTGCCCCCAGATTAATGGCTCTCAGTTTCACTGTCCCGTCGTCTTCTTGGGCTCTTGTGCTTGAGTTGGGTGCTTGTATCTTCAGTGCCATGGGTGGGCTTGGGCTTGGGCTTGTGGAACCGGCTGACACGCAGCAGAGTGCCCCCTGCAGAACAAATGGGGTTCTGAAGTTTTGAATCTTAAGAGGGGAAAGGCTTTCTTAAAAAAGATACGTTCTTCAAACACAGCACCTTCCCCAGAGCTCCGTTCATTCTTTGCTGCAGCCTGTTGTTGTGCAAGATGAAGATCAACCCAAGCAGCTGCAGTCCTGGGCGGCTGACAGCACTGACGGACTGGTCTCGATTCTTATTTAATATATTTTTTTTATTGATTTCAGAAAAGAAGGGAGAGGGAGAGAGTTAGAAACATCAATGATGAGAGAGAATCATTCACTGGCTGCCTCCTGCACGGTCCACACTGGGGCTGAGGCGACTGAGCCAAACCAGCTGGGTGTCCATTTTTATTTTACTTGCCCAGCCAACAAAGAGAAAAGCTAGATCTGGGAGTCGTGTCAAGAAATGTAAAAGTTCTGAACAGTAAATATAGTCTATTCTACATGTTTACTAGGAGATTCCTTCCTGGGAACTTTGGTTTAACATTGCATGGATGTCCCAGGAACTTTTATCTTAATACTTTAGGAAGAACCTGTGATTGTCTCAGAAAATGTCTTTCCTCTTGATGGACATAGACAGCCTGTGGAGGTGTAAATAGCCTCTTTCCCCACAGGGCATGGAATGTACTTGTACTTAAGAACAGCCTTTCTGTTTCATGTTCATTGCACCTTGTAAGTCAAGAAAGGGGCCACTATTATTATTACCTGGACTCCAATTAATTTTCAGAGGTTTTCTTGATTAATTTGAAATTATAGAAAGGGAGGGGGTAGTTTTGAGTGCTCCTTCATCCAGGCCATGGTGAGGCACTGTTTTCCCCCACACATAGCACATCTCTAGTGACTTCAGTTGCTCAAGACCCATGGATGAGTTTCCTCAGGACAGCACTGGGCACCAGCTGGTCAGTTCTTCCTTTAGATGTGAGAGCATCGCGATTGAGTGAGTCAAGACATCTGGTTTGATTAGTGTAACCCTCGGGATAGCTGTCTGTCCACTGCGTCCATGTGTTAGATGAAGCTGGCAGGCCCCTTAGTGGGAAAGTTGGGCCTTGAGTGTGTGGGAGCTGAGCAGCCCTGGGCCACATGCCCTGACTGAGGGTCCTTGGAACCAGGGCGGGTGGGAGTTGGAGAGCTTTTCAGTTGAGGCCAGGGCCCTGGTCTGGGTCCTTAGTGCTTGTTTGTCTGTTGAAATAGGAGAGGGAAATGTATGCCTAAAACAGGAAAATTAGTTACTACATAACTTAGAGGGAAAGAATTAGTATTTAAAATGAAACCTCTGCACAAGACTCTCTTGGAAGGTAAGAGGGTAGTGTGTTATTTTTCTTTATGTCTCTACCTAAATTCAGTGCTCGCTTCGGCAACTCACATACTAAAATTGGAATGATGCAGAGAAGATTAGCATGGCCCCTGCACAAGGATGACACGCAAATTTGTGAAGTGTTGCATATTTTTAAAAAATAAGTAGCTAATTCAGAATTGACCCAGGGTAATGAAATGGAACTATGTTTTCTCCCTATAAAGATGACCTCAACACACATGTTCTCTAACCCAGAGATCCCCATGGGTTAAAATCCACTTTATAATAATCCGTGCCCCATCATTGGCCTGAATCCTTGGGGCAGCTGCCACTCTGCCCTCCACAGATAGAGCCAAGAGAGTGAGGCCTTCCTAGCCCCATACAAACCCTCTTTGGGCATCACACGTGTCCTGGCTCCGGTCAGGGTCTGGGAGAAAGAGTTCAGACTCCAGTGGGGCATTTGCCCTCTTAATCCACAGTACTCTTCCCAAGACCCTGGGGATGCCTGGCGAGTGGCTGACGCAGTGTGGCAGTGCGCTGTTGTGAGGGTGACAGGGGGGGCTATTAAGAGACTTGCTCGAAATGTCCCTCTCCCCTCTGCAAACATTTACTGAGGCCCGAAGTGCAGGATGTGTTTCAGGAACCTCTGATAGCCTGCATTTGGAGGTGAAGCTGCAGGCCGAAGTTGGGGCAGACCAGGGGCTCCACTGAGGGAGGTTGGGCTTTGTTAGGGAACCTCAACAGTTCTTGGGGCAGGAGGTAACATAATTGACTCTGTTTTAGAGACCTGCTTCTAGCTGGAATGTTTATTTGGAAAATTCCTGATGACTAATGCCTGCTTTATAACCACTACTGCTACCTGCTGGGATGAGTAGCTGTCTTTTCATGCAGGAAGAGGAGCAGTGATTATAAGAAGCCTTAACACTGAACCCCCTAAAGCCGTTCATGACAGGAGTTGGAAAGAACTGGTGTAGCCCCGGAACTGAAGGCATGGAATTGCAGGAAAGTGGCTTACTCCCCACAACTACATCACCTCCCTCCCCTAAATGTACTTTCTGCGCTGTCCAGCGGGTAAAACACTAGCACCAGGCTGGTGTTTCTGGTGGTCTTTCTGGCCTGACAGGCAGCATGGTGTGTGGGTCCCCAGCATGTGCACATCCTCGGTGCACGCTCACCCTCCAGTCGCTAGCGAGAGTGCTTTCTCCCTCGACGTGACTGAAGTCCTGAGATTTTCCTTAGCCGGTGACAGTACTACTCACCCTTCCTTAGCTCTTCAAAGTCTGGCCTTTATTTTCGACCCATGCTTAATTTGTTAGGACTTCACCTAGATACAGTGAAGTTCAAATCCAGCCTTCACCATTATAGCTCTGTGATTTGGGATTCTCAGTTTTCTCCTCCATAAAATGTGGATAATAGCCTAATTCTCAGAGTTGTGAGGGTTAAAGGAGGTATGTCAAAGTCTATGGACCTTTAGTAAGTGCTCAGGACTGTTAGTTGAGATCATCTTCTTTATAAAATCTTTTGTACACCCTGATAGCAGTTGCCCCTATGTGGCCATGGCAGACATTGCTTATCAACCATAGACTCCTGTGAATTCTCAGTAGAGCACTTAAGAGCCATTACTGATCATCAGAGAGGAAAATTGTTGAGAAATATGAATAAATTAAGGTTATAGAGCAGGGGTGGGCATACTTTTTGACTCGAGGGCCACAATGGGTTCTTAAACTGGACCGGAGGGCTGGAACAAAAGCATGGATGGAGTGTTTGTGTGAACTAATATAAATTCAAAGTAAACATCATTACATAAAAGGGTACGGTCTTTTTTTTTTTTTTTAGTTTATTCATTTCAAACGGGCCGGATGGCTGCGGGCCGTAGTTTGCCCACGACTGTTATAGAGGCTACTCTCAATAGCCCCTCCTAAGTCAGTTTACTAATCTGCCCCTTCTCCATTCTCTGTTCAGGTATATGAAATTTGTTTTCAAGAATCTTGTTCTCTCTGTAGCCACTGATCTGATTACTATTACTGTAGATCAAGCATGTTAAACTTGCAGCCCTCGGGCCTCTTTTATTTGGCCCCTGTTAGCCTTTGAGTTTGACATGCCTGCTGTAGATGCTTGCCTTTTCTAGAACTTCATAGAGATGGAGTCTTTCAGTATGAACTCTTAATGTCTGGCTTCTTTTACTCAGCACATTGTTTTTGAGCTTCATCTGTGTTACTTGGCATATCAATAGTTCATTCCTTTTTACTGCTGAGTAATATTTCATTGTATGAATATATCACAGTGTACATCCATTCACCTGGTGATTGGCATTTGGTGTGTTTTCAGATTTTAGTGATAGTGAATAGAAGCTACTCTGAAAAAAATGAAGAAGCTCATCGTTCCTTTAGTTATTCAAGATAATCACTTTCAGTTGGTTATCTTTTTGCCCCCTGTTTATGGGCATTGTTTTCTTTATTGAAAGTGTAATTGATGGCATGGCGGCTAGATTTGCCCAATCTCATGGTATTGTAAAATCACGGAGTATCACACAATAAGAGCATCTTCCCTCCTTTAGTTATAAATATCAGGAACCTTTGCTAATGAGGGTGCCCTGGTGATGGGAGGAGGTGGGATGTGGAGAAGGCAGACGAAGATAGGAAATCTTCAGGACAGGCTCGAGTTGGGATTAGGGTGTGTCTGACCCCCACTGATGGACATGCTCATCAGTGACATCTCCCACTGTCAGTGTTTTGCAGCCTGGTTCCATTTGTAATGCCCCTACCTGGCAGGCAAGATCGTTGTGGGTCCCACTTTTAGGGTCAAGCCTGGGTACTCTGTGTGCCCTGGCTACATGGGTAGGAGCTGGGAGGAGCAATTAGTAGCCAGGATCACAACAGGGTGTTGGACTGGTCGGTGGAGGCAGTCTTCTCTAGGAGAAGCACTTTCAGGGGCAGCCATCACTTCTCTCTCACCTCCCCTGGGGCTTGAGTAGGAAGGAGGGAAGCTTGGGCCTGTTATAATGGAAAGATTGTGGGCTCTGGAGTCAGGTGGACCTGGTGTCCAGTCCCAACCATGCTATTAGCGCTATGATTTAGTTCTTACAGAGGAGACGAGGTGATGGCAACTAACAGCCATTGTGAGCCTGGATGGTTAGTGATTGATAGGAGCCACCTAGGGGCCTTGACACTTCCCTGGATCAGGGTCAAAAAGCTGTTTGAGCCTTTGTCATTCCCCTGGTGCCAGGATGACACCGGTCAGGAGCTGCAGAGTGCCCCTGCGAAGCTCTTAGTCCATCCCAGGAGATGCAGGCTTGTAAACAAATCACTGTGATGCAGCATGGTAAGTGCCTTAATGGAAGCTTTGTCCAGCTGTGGAAGTGATAGGAGGGAAGTGAAGGAATGGGAGGTGGGGAGCTTACTGTCTCCTGCTGCCAGCACTGCACGAGCAAGAAGCCCCTAGCTGGGCCGTAGTGGACATTTCCATAGTCTGCCTAGAATGCCCTTGACTCACTTCTCTTTCCAGACACCCTGGCCTCTAAGCCTGCCCACCACCTGCAGGCATGCACTTGCTTGTGGTGTCCCCACAGACTTTGGACTTTCCTAGAACAGGAGTCTGGTGGTTATGTGGGTGTGTGTATGCCTCCACCCCCAAATCGGAGCCCCAGGAAACCTGCTCCTTGTTGTGCCCTTTTGGCGACTTGATTGCTGGGCCCAGGGCCTCTGGCTTCGGAGGGGTTCAGTGCCTGATGAGTGAAGGATTCATCTGGAGTGCTTTCTGCTAACTTCGGTTTTATCTGTCTGGACCTTACGTATTTATCAAAATATTTTTTCCTTATTTTATGAGTAGGCCTTCAGTAGTTGATCCTGGTATGAACTGATAGTCTGTTACTTTTCTGTGATGGGCATCATCAACAGATGTAGGGAGTTGAAATCATTAAATAAAACCAGTGGGGGCTAAAAATCTATCTTCTATAATAATAAAGCGTAATATGCTAATTAGACTAGACAGCTGAACAACCTTCCAGACGAAGCTGGGGCTGCGAGGGCCGAGCCCCTTGCACGAATTTCGTGCATCAGGCCTTTAGTGTATGTATGATACTTTCCCTCCACCTTTGACGTTCTAGCTGGGCTAATCAGAGTAACAGAGACAGATTAACAGAAAAAATAAAAATTAATACATGCACATGAGGAATTCACATAAGCATGAAGGTTTTTATGTAAAAAATTATTTTATTGATTTCACAGAGGAAGGCAGAGGGAGAGAGAGATAGAAACATTAACGATGAGAGAGAATCACTGATCAGCTGCCGCCCCCCTCTCCCCCCCAGGATCAAGCCTGCAACCTGGGCATGTGCCCTGACCAGGGATGGAGCCGAAACCTCCTGGTTCATAGGTTGATGCTCAACTACTGAGTCACGCCGGCTGGGCTTAATATGACAATTTTTATTTGCAGGCTCAGTGTCAGACCAGGAGTTGGAGGTATCCGATCTTATTTTGGGATCCAGCAGAGCTTCCTCAGCCAGCCAGCACGCACAGCCACCTTCCAGCAGAAGTTTGATGCCCGGCAGAAGATCGGCCTCTCGGATGCCCGGCTCAAGCTGGGAGTCAAGGATGCCCGAGAAAAGCTTCTGCAGAAAGATGCTCGTTTCCGGATCAAAGGGAAAGTGCAGGATGCCAGAGAGATGTTGAACTCCCGCAAGCAGCAGAGCTTGGCTCCCCAGAGGCCCCACCAGGTAGCTGATGCCCGGGAGAAGCTCAGCTTGAAGCGGAGTTCCCCTGCTTCCTTCATGAGCCCCCCCATCGGGACGGTGACTCCAGCGCTGAAGCTCACTAAAACCATCCAGGTAGGTATGGCTCTTGTCATAAATCCCAGGAAGCCGGCAACAACTATAGATTCTGGCAGAGCGCAGGGCTCCGGAATGTTTGGGGAACATAACATTCCTGGGCTTGTGCAGTAACCATATGCGGAAGGCAAGGTATTGCCCAGTTTTATATAAAAGCAGGGGCGGTCCAGTGAAATGAGGTGACTTTCCCAGGTGAGCTAGCAGTGGAGGGAAGAGAGGGGAAGGGACAAAACATTCATGGAGCATGTGCTACCTGGCAGGCACCCACCATATATGACCTCCCTACTTACTATATTGCTCACTGCAGCCCCAGGGTTGTTACCTCAGCTTTATCTAAGAACCTCGGTCCCGGAGATGTGAACTATGCCCAGAGTTACACAGCTCCCCATACAGTGTGCTGGCCACCTGCACAGCCAGCACCCCGAAGGGAACGGGGAGATCATTTCATCTCCACACGCTGTGGTAACAGGAACAGAGGCAGCAGGGAGCAGGCCTTGAGCCGGTTCATTGAGCCCCACGCGTGCCTTGCCAGGGGATCTCTGGGACGGCGAGACTTCCTGTCACTCTCCTGTTTTGGACGGAGGCACTCTGTAGGGCCTTTTACCAAAGACCAAACTGAGTGCCCTCATAGTTCAAGTTCAGTGACCGTAGAGAATATGTGAGCCCTGTGTGATGGATTGTGACCAGCGGGTGTTTCTAGGTCCCACAGCAGAAGGCCATGACACCGCCTCATGCCCATCCTGCTGGAATGAGGATTAACGTCGTCAACAATCACCAGGGGAGACAGGTAGAGTGTGTGCGTGTGTTCTGGACGTGTGTGTACAAATGTGTTTTGATTGGACCTGCTGGGTGGATTAACTGATGCTACTTTAAGGTTCACAATTTGAAGAATTAGGAGAGATTACATTTAACTGTACTTAATGAGTTTTAAGAAGAAATTTTAAAACTGAGGAGAGAGGCATAAGAGGCAGGAGCAAATTGAAAAAAAATTTTTTTTAATTAATATGTGCTTAATACAGAAAATTTACAAACCAGAGAAAGATTAGGAAGAAGAAGTTTCTACGCTCCTATTCTCCTAAGCCAACCATTGTAGAAATTCTGCCCTGGTTCCTTCCTGTTTTTTAAATGTCATTATTATTTAATTATTGCATAGTTGTAGTTGTGGTTATATTTTTAATCCATTTTTGTATCATTCTTTTTTCATTTTATAACAAGCATTTTTCTGTTTTCACATTTATAGTAAACAACATTTTAAGCCCTTGGTTCGCCATAAGCGTCTATAGACGCAAGCAGGATGGTTTCCATTTTGGATGCGTGTCAGTTAACTGGTTAAGAACCAATTGCATAATCCAGGGGTCCTCAAACTACGGCCTGCGGGCCACATGCAAATACAAATACTGTATTTGTTCCCGTTTTGTTTTTTTACTTCAAAATAAGATATGTGCAATGTGCATAGGAATTTGTTTATAGGTTTTTTTTAAACTATAGTCCGGCCCTCCAGCGGTCTGAGGGACAGTGAACTGGCCCCCTGTTTAAAAAGTTTGAGGACCCTGGCATAATCCATTGAGTTGATGTTCCAGTTGATTTAAACCATTTTACTGTACTTTTCACTGTTAGAAAGTCTCTGAACATCTTTGTGGGTAATGTTCTTTCTAGGGTTTGGGCCAGAGTGCCAGGGCGGGGCTTTCCTAGCCACAGGATATACGCAGACATCTGGGGGCTCTTCTAGGCATCGTCCACTGGTAGAAAGGATGTACCTGGAAGCTGCAGCACTTCCTCTGCCCTTGTGGGCGGGGAGCCACCTGTCAGGACTTGAGCCTCACTCAGCTCCTCAGGCACCCACACGCCCGCTTCTCCCTCCCCCTCCATTGCTGTTGGCAGCCCGTGTGCCACATTAGTTTATATTGATTTATTTTCAGAATTTATATGACCTGGATGAAGATGATGACATTGCAGCTCCCATTCCTAGTAAACAGATGAAATTGGCAACCTCCAGCAGCTTTCTCCACCACATGGTAGGGTGTTTCATGTTTTGCCGACACTGCTGTGTGTGTCTGATTAGTTGGATGGTAGAGGTGGTGGAGAATTGGCCTTTCGACTCAGATATATTTCTTCATTTGGGTCTTAAGATTTTCAGAACTGGAACTAGCCCAGCCCCTCATCAATACTGAGACCAGAGTGTCTAGTGACTTGTTCACGGTCCCACAGGTCATGAGGTGCAGAGCTACTGCTCCCCATTGACTCAGGTTTGAGACGCTTCATGAGAAACGTGATGACCCACAGGAGGAATCCATGTTCTTTCATTTGCCGCAGGACATTCTACATGCTCCCCTTTCCTCCGTTCTTAAATCTGACTCCCTTCGTTAGTGTGTTAGCAAAACAATCTGAACCTTACCCACCAGTGCAGTCTCACAAGAAAAGCTTGATAACTAGGATACTGGTCAGATATAGGCAGAACAGGAAAGAAAGCAGCATCGGGAGCATCAAGGACGTCTGCATGTTCCCTGACATTCCGGGAGCTGCTAGGGCCAGGCCTGTTTCTGGTGCCCCTGTAGAGCCAGAACAGGGGCCAGAAAACTGGGAGTCTGGGCCTTCTGGAGAGTGGGTTCTAGGCCCAGCCAGCCTGGAGCTGGTCAGTCATCGTGATAGAAGCATATGTGGGAATCCCAAGCTTTTGACCTTCTGACCAGCCCCAAATTGTTGGATTTTTATAAAGTATAAAGCATGTCAAACTCGGGGCCGGCGGGCCACATGCCTCGTTTAGGTAATCGAGGTCTAAACGGCATGAGTGAGCCTGTGGACCCTGGTCAGGGCTGCGTGTAAGCTTCTCACCAAGGGCTGCTAACCCTGGAAAGTGGCTTCTGTGAGCACGTGTGCAGGCTGCGTGTTTCTCTCCTCTTCTGCACCCTCCCTGTGGATGTCGCTGGCAGCCTTTTGGCTTCAGGCCACTAATGGAATTGGGAAGTGGTCGGGGGCTCCAGGGTGGGGGTTGTCGGTCCCTAACTGGGCATCCAAGTCGCTAGCCTCTCAGGTTCCTGTCTGCCTCTTTGTTTAGGCCGGGCTGAGCAGTTCCAAGCTTTCCATGTCCAAGGCCCCCCCTCTCACCAAAGTGGTTCAGAATGATGCGTACACAGCTCCTGCTCTCCCCTCCTCGGTTCGAACAAAAGCCTTGACCAACATGTCCCGGACACTAGTGAACAAGGAGGATTCCCCCAAAGAGCTGCCTCCTGCTGAGGTGAGGTGAAGGTGAAGGTGAAGGAGAGGAAGTGGAAGTGACCGCACCAGTTGAGAGTCGGCCTGTGCTGGGTGGGCAGTGTGCTGTGTGTACCCTGTTGCGTCCTCACAGCACCTCTCTGAGGTTCGCATCGCCACCCCCATTTTACAAACGAGCAAACCAAGACCCAGCAGCCCCTGAGCGCAAAGAGCTCGCAGACGAGTGGGGGAAACAGGGCCTGTGTCCGGTGATACAACAGCTGTGCTCGGAGAGCTGCTGGAGCACTGAGGAGAGCGCCGCCGAGTCCACTGGGCACAGCTGGGAAGGCTGAGCGGGTGGGTGTTGAAGTAGGAGGGGCATTTCAGGCAGAGGCACAGATGCCTGAGAGGCTCTGCTTATTGGAAGCAAGAGGCTCCATCCCTTAGCATGGGGTGGGGGGCATGATGGGCGCTGAGGTCTCTAATAGGAGGTGGGCCTCCAGGTCACTTGCCCAGAGTGAGTTCTGTTGCGCACAGCTGTTCTCTGCCTTCTGGTAACACTCTTGTCTGTGGCAGCCTGTCCTCAGCCCTCTGGAAGGGACCAAGATGACGGTGAATAACCTACACCCGAGGGTCACCGAGGAGGACATTGTTGTGAGTATTGTGCCCTGCCAGAATTTCCCGTCTCCAGCCACTGCTGTGTCGGTGGAATTGGTCACTCTACATAGAGCTCCAGAGTTTATTCCTAACAGATTCCTGTGTGACATATTAGCCACTGTTGTTATCGGATAAGCCTGCACATTCATCCTCATGCCAGAGTTCTCAGAGAAATTCCATAACTATTACCTCTATTGAGGAAGGAGGTGGGCACCGAGGCGGGAGGACTTTGGGCATGACTTGTTGAATGTCAGCTCAGGCCCATTTCTCATTGCCTGCACAGCTTGTCCCCTCTCCTGGTCCATGCTGAGGCCTGTGGATGTCCCCAGAACACCCCCTAGAATGGAGCTTCCCTGAAATCTTGGGCATATTCAGCCGTAGTGCGGCCACCAGTCAACCCAGAGCCCTCGCAATGTGTTGAATGGCAGGCAGGATGATGGCCTGAACCCCTCCCCTAACCCCAGTCCCTCTGCTTGGCAGGAGCTTTTTTGTGTGTGTGGAGCCCTGAAGCGGGCTCGGCTGGTCCACCCGGGGGTAGCAGAGGTGGTTTTTGTGAAGAAGGATGATGCCATCACCGCATACAAGAAATACAACAACCGGTGTCTGGACGGTGAGTCGGAGAAAGCTACTTCCCTCCCACTCCTCACTGCTACTGCCGGGCAGCAGGCCTGCAGCGCATCCTTCCCCTGCAGTGGGTGGGGGCATCCGGTGCACCAGGAGCAGGCAGGGAGGTGAGTCTCTGGGTGGTGCTGAGCTGCCAGCTCCTGTCCCACAGCCCTGGGTGTCGCCTGGCCTAGCACCTAAGCTAGCTAGCAGGGAACACCTGTTCCACGGGTGGTCCTCTTAAGCCATAGCTTCCCCTGCCAGCTGTGGGTCTGCTCGGTGCTAGGACACAGGCTCCTGAATGGCCTGGAGCCTCGTCTGACTGTTGGCACCCGGTGAGCTCTGCTTCTAGTGAGAACCCTGATTCCACTGAATGCAGATTCCCCATTCATCTCGGGGCAGCCTAGGGAGAGGAACGCTGTCTGCCACGGTCCTCCTGTCCAAAAGAGTTCTTTATATATTCTCTTTTTTTATTATTTATCTGTTTTCTCAATACATATATATTTTTTATCCTCACCGAGGGTATTTTCCATTGATTTTTAGAGAAAGTGGAAGAGAGAGGGAAAGACAGAGAGAAACATCGAAGTGAAAGAAAAATTGATTGGTTGCCTCCTGCACTCGCCCTGAAGCCTGCAACCAAGGCACGTGCCCTTGACCGGAATTGAACCCAGGACCCTTCGGGTTCTGCTCTGTCCACGAGCCAAACCAGCCAGGGCTCTTTATATATAATCTTACTAAAGGTCTCTTAGATAAATGGTTTGTTAATATTTCCTCCCAATATGTAGTTTGTCTTTTCACTCCTTTTTTAACATATGCATTTAAAGTGATATATTTATTTCTCAGCACTGCATTAACCACATTTCATAAGTATTGATATGTTGTGTCTTTTCATTCATCTCAAAATATTTTCTAAGTTACCTATGTTTTTCTTCTTGGACCCATTGGCTATTTAGGGTGGTTTTGTTTAATCTCCATGTATTTGTGAGTTTTCCAAACTTTCTCCTGGGTACGTGGGACAGTATGTGTTTAGCTGCTATTGGGGAGATGTCTGTTTCTTTGTTCATCTGCCTGGTTCTGTCCATTACTGAACGTGCAGAACTGAAACCTTCAGCTGTTGTTTGTTTACTTCTCCTTCCACTTCTGTCAGCTTTTGCTCCATGTGTTTGAGCCTTTTGTTAGTTTCATAAATGTTTATAATTGTTCTAATTGTTTTCTTTCTAGTGGAGTGACACTTTTATCAGTTATAAAACATCCCTCTTTATCTCTAGTAACATTTTTCATTTTAACGTCTATTTTAGCTGATACTCATATAGCCACTCCAGGTTTCTTTTTTTTTTTTTTTTTTATTGATTTTTTACAGAGAGGAAGGGAGAGGGATAGAGAGTTAGAAACATCGATGAGAGTGAAACATCGACCAGCTGCCTCCTGCACACCTCCCACTGGGGATGTGCCTGCAACCAAGGTACACCCTCTTGACCGGAATCGAACCCGGGACCCTTCAGTCCGCAGGCCGACGCTCTATCCACTGAGCCAAACCGGTTTGGTGCCACTCCAGGTTTCTTAGGGTTGCTGTTTGGGTGACATATATCTCCTTTTACTTTCAACCTTTTTGTATTTTTGAATCTAATCTCCAATAGATAGAATATATCAAATCTATTTCAGATTAATACTACATTCCACTGAGAGATAGAAACGTCACTTCTATATGGCATCATTTCCTCATTTTGTGCTGTTTTTTTAATGTTTACATTAAGAAATTTTTTTTCTTTATCTTATTCTTTTTTGTTCCCTGTCACGTTTTATGTACACTGGGAGTGTAGTACTCAGTACAGTTAATCTTTCATAGACAAAGTGGACGTCTGTACATATACTTTTGAATCCTTTTGCACTTAATTTCATAGCCTAACATTTTCCCTTACTAATCGCTCCACAAGCCAGGTTGGGTGGCTCCACACTGACTTCCACACTCTTCTCCGCTGTGAGGCAGGGTCTGTTGCCAGTTTGCTTCTCAGTGCTGTCATTGCCGAGGTTTCATGGACCTCACACACTGGGATTTTCTTAGTCCCTGGGTTTTGCTTCAGAATCCAGCAGCTCCACCCCCAGTATGAAGCTAGAGCTGCCAGCGGTGGGTGTTTGACCCCCGTGATGCAGGTGGCGGCCTTGTCCTTTTGTGTGGAGAGCTGTGGTCTCGTAGCAGAGCCTTTTCTCTTGGTTTTTCAGGGCAACCAATGAAGTGCAACCTTCACATGAATGGGAACGTCATCACCTCCGACCAGCCCATCCTGCTGTAAGTCCCAAAGGCAGCCTTGCTGGGGCGGGTGGGGCTCTCTCCTCGCTGACTCTGCCTGGTCACCTCTATCCTGACGGTACCTGGCCTGCACACAGCTCCATCCCACTTCCTGTGCTCTCTGGCAGTCGGGTGCTCAACTTTGTGCAAAGGCGCTTGTCTCGTCTTTTCCACAGGGGATTGGCCTAACGGGGTAGCATTACAACCTGCTCCCAGCCTATAATCTAGGCACACTTGAGGAGAAAGTGGAGAGCAGGCCAGATGTGTCCCTCTTTGCAAAACTGGGTGCATTGTCCAAGGGGACAGGGAGCTCCACCCCCTGTGATTGCCTCTGATGGAGACAGTGCTGGCTGCTGCCCTTGTTCTGTGTCACACGTCTGGGTGTACGTGCCGGGCGCGGGACTGCGGTGCCTCACGTGTAGGCTGTCCTCTTACAGACAAGGAGGCAGAGACCTGGGGAGGATGTTAGCCTTGCCAAGGCGGGTGGGCAGTGCGGGGCAGGCCTGAAGTAGACTTCAAAATTCAAAAAGACCAGAATGTGAACCCTGGATATTGAATTGTGTGATTTGGACTAGTTTCTTAAACTGTATTCCAGGACTAAGCTGTATTCTGAAAAGTGTGGGTCCTGTGTCCTAATAAGTGTGAGAACCATTGGGCTAAGCAGAGTTAAATTCATTTCTTCAAGACTTCTCAGAATATATAACATGCTGTGTGTGACCACCCTGAGGGATGTGCATTGTTCTCTAAACTTAACACCCCAGCTGACAGCAGGCTGCACCTCATCCGCCAGCAAGAAGGGGGGAGGTTTGCTGCAGAGGAAGTGAGATGCAGGCTACAGAGAGCACTACATTGGGGGCCTAGCTTGTAACGGATCAATAAACGGTGGCCCCTCTGCGTCTGAGGGAAACTGACAAGGATCTTGACTCTTCTCTGCTCACAGACGGCTGAGTGACAGCCCCTCGGTGAGAAAGGAGAGTGAGCTGCCTCGCAGGGCGAACTCTGCCGCCTCGTCCAACCCTCCAGCTGAGGTGGACCCCGACACCATCCTGAAGGCGCTCTTCAAGTCCTCGGGGGTCTCTGTGGCCACACAGCCCACAGAATTCAAAATCAAACTTTGAGCGGGGGAGCAAGGCAGCCAGAAGGGGGCAGAGGAGGGTGGCTCTGTTTCCCGAAGCAAAGCTTGTGACCAATGGGCCGTTGGACTGGAGGCCCCAGGCGGGGGTAAGAGCTCCTCACTGGACAGACCCGCCTTCCTGTGATGTGTTCTAGCCTGTGCTCTGTACGTTAACATTTCCTGTAGCGTTTCTTCTCCCTCCACCTTCTCTCCAAGGTAGGTTTGTGTTGTTCAATTGTCTCTCCCCCTAAACTCAGCTCCAAGTTCTTTCCTGGAAATGGTGTCCTGAATTCTCTGTGTGCTTTCTTGTGGCTCCATGGGATACAGAGGGGCTGTTTGGAGGATACTGTTTTTTCCAAGGGTGAGGGGCCTCCTCCCATTTTATTTTTTCAGTTTTTGAACAAAGTGGAGAAGGGAAGTTTCGCCGTCCTAATGGGAGCCGGGTCAGCTCCAGAGCTGTGCCACTCTCCGGCCTGGTCAGTGGAGGGACCTGGGTGGGCATCAGGCCACAGGCTCTTGTCCTCTCCCATAATTGTCTCCACACCAGTGTGGTCTGGAGGGCCCTGTTGGCAAGGGCAGGGTGAGGCTGCTGCTCTTCCAGGAAGTGTGCACCCCAGTTCTTGCCTGCAGGGCCCGTGCTGTTTCGGGCAGGTCGGAGTTAATCCTGAGGTCACAGGTCCCTTTCCCATGGGTTCGGCCCAGTGCTCCACCCCAGTTCCCTTGGCCTCTGGTTATTACTGCTGGGGGGGCTTGCTGGTCCCTCAAGTTTTCACTAGCCCAGAGCTCATCACACCCTGGTTCTAGTGTTAATGCCAGCTCTCCCCTAGTTCTGTGACACTGTGGGTTTGGAGGATTATTAAAAGGGGAGATATTGGCTTGCTCCTGGCTCTTTTTTTCTGGCCTCAGATGTCCACAGGACAATAGTCAGGATTCTGGGAGCACACATGCAGCTACCACCTTTGTAAGTGGCCCATCGGTCCATGAGCAGAGGGATCTTTTCCTGCCTTGGCAATGGGGGAGGGGAGTGGTGGTAAGAAGGCAGTAGAGAGAGCAAAGCAGCCCGTCCAGGCAAACACTAGGTTCCTCTCAGAATGGTTCCAGGGAGTTGGAGCAAAACTTTAGCACTCAGGGCAGCCCCTGAATGCCCAGTCAGCATGGCTCCAGAGTCACCATCAGTGCCCCGCCAGCTGGCTGGGGCTGTAAAGGCAGTCCAGGTGGCAGAGCTGGAGAGAGTTGGGGAGCAGGATTCTGGGAGCCCCACAGGATCAGTAGCAAGTGCTGTGAAAGGCACAGGCCAAGAAAGGAAAGGGGCTGAGACACTAAGCCTCTCGTGACCTGCTGGGGCCAGCACAGTGAAGACAAACCTTTGAACACGTTTCCTCAGAGTTAAGTCTGTCAAGCAGGAAGGCCTGGGGTTTGAACCCAGCTCCGTCCTCCAGCTCCGAGGTTGCGCAGGCCCAGCAAGTCCAAGGAATGTGCTTGGTGGTGCTCCCTTTATGGTTCCATAAAGAATGCAGTTCTTGTTCCCTTTTCCCCTTTTAACGGGTGCAGATGTAGTTCTCAGCAGCTGGAAGACATTCCTCCTACACTTTCCCAAACTCCTGGCCCAAGAGAGCATCCAAGGCGTAGGGCCTCGTTCTGGGGCCCGGAGCACAGTAGGCCACGCTCAGACTCTGCCCCGAGCAGAGGTGTAAACATCCTGCCTGCATGGTGTGGCCCTCCCCCCTTCTAGGCCCAGGCCAGGCCGCTCTGGTAGAGTGTTGTTGAGCTAGCTGCAGCCACCTGGTCACCTGGACCCGGTCCTGGACAGCCATGTGGTACATTGTGGGGTGAAGCCCGTTTGTCTCCCCTGGTCTACAGGATGGCATCGAAGAGAAGGTGGTGCGCCAATCCTCGTGTCCCTCTTAACTTCCCGCTCCCCTACGTTCCCCACCTGTGTCTCTTGTTCAAAAGAAGAGGAAGAGGCATTAAGGGACGGAAGAGACTCTGTTACTTACACATTTCTGAATAAATGTTTGTTATTCCTACCTCTGAGCTGTCATTTCTTAAGAGCTTTACTAAGTGGCCTTAATAACCAGAGGCAGGCATTTGCCTTGGCTTTCCTACTCCCAACTCCGGCCTTGGAGCAGAGTTCCTCACGGCACTCACCGAACCTATTCTCCACGGCTGAGAGGATGTGAGCAGGGTGTCTGTGGGAGCACCTGGCACAGTAACTACCTCCTGGACCTGAAGTGCCTCACCGGGTATGAAGCATGGTCAGCCTGACTGATGGAATGAATACACTACATTTTACTGACTTTACCATTCCTTTGTGGTGGTTAATCCTCACCCGAGGACACCCTTTATTTTTATTGATTTGATAGAGGAAGAGAGAGAGAGAAACATCAGTAAGAGAATCAGCTGCCTCCTGCACACCCCACGGGATCGAGCCTACAACACCGAGCATCCGTGACCTCCTAGTTCATAGGTCGACGCTCAACCGCTGAGCCACACCAGCTGGACTTCCATTGATTTTTAGAGTGAAGAGGAGAAGAGACAAGAGAGAAACAACTCTCACATTGATTGGTTGCCTCCCGCACACACCCCGACCAGGGCCAGAAATCAGTCCTGCAATTCAGGTATGTGCCCTTGACCAGAACTAAACCCAGGACCCTTCAGTCCACGGGCCAATGCTCTATCTGCTGAGCCAAATCAGCTAGGGCTGACAACCAGTTTTTTTTTTAATATATTTTATTGATTTTTTACAGAGAGGAAGGGAGAGAGAGAGAGAGTTAGAAACATTGATGAGAGAGAAATATCGATCAGCTGCCTCCTGCACATCTCCTATTGGGGATGTGCCCACAACCCAGGTACATGCCCTTGACCGGAATCGAACCTGGGACCCTTCAGTCCGCAGGCTGACGCTCTATCCACTGAACCAAACCGGTTTTGGCCTGACAACCATTCTTAAGTGTACATTTCATTGGTATTAAATACATGCACATTGTGCAACCAATAACTCCCCATTCTTCCTCCCCCAGCCCGTGGCAACCCACCACTATACTCCCCAGAAATGGCAAGAGATATAAAGCTGCAGATTTGAGAATCTCACAGGACCTCAAGAGAAACCCAAAGAAAGTCACACCAGGACCCTGCATAGTCGAGGATACTTAGGAAAACTAAAAATAATCCTGAAAGCAGCAAGACAAATGATGCCTGTAGGTAAAAAAATTGAGTGACACTTCTCATCAGAAACCATGAGGTCAGAGGAATGGTACATTTACCAAGTAGCAAAAGAAAGTTACTCTCAACAAAGAATTTATACCCAGCAAAAAATATCCTTCAGGAATTGGGGAGAATTTAGGCATTCTCAGATGAAGAAAAAGTAGGAGAATTTGTTGCCAGTAGACCTATCCTGAAAAGATGGTTGAAGTTCTCTAAATATAAAGAAAAAATTTTTAAAAAGGCAACTTAGAATATCACAAAAGAAGAAGGAACAACAGAAATAGCAAAACCTTGGTAAATACTTGCCTTCTCCAGTTTTCTAAATTATGGTTGATTGTTAAAGCAAATGTTATAACATCGATGTGGTTTTCAACATAGGAAATACTTAAAGCAATTGCTTTATAAATGGGAGAGAGCAAAGGGATCTAAATGGGAGATTTCCACAATTCTCTCAAACTGGTAAAATTTGGACAAAGTATATTGTAATGAATGTATAACGTAATTATTGGACTGACAACTAAAATGATAAGCAGTGCACCCAAAAACACCGTAGAGAAGTCAAAATGGAATTCTAAAAATAATTTTCAAGCAATCTACTGGAAGTCAGGAAAAACAAAACAGAAAACAAAAAAATAAAGTGAGATGTAAGCCCTAGCATACCACAAAGTACATTAAGTATAAATGGTCTAAATACATCTGTCAGTTGAAAGAAATTGGCAAAGTGGATGAAAAAACTTGACCTAACTATATGCTATCCACAAGAAACTCACTTCAAATATAACAGTATAGTAGGTTGAAAGTAAAAGGATGGGAAAATGGTAAATATGCAAACAGTACTCAAAAAAGAAGTGTCAAAGTAAATACAGTAGGTCCTCGGGTCATGTCAGAGATCTGTTACCACGGCACTTTTCGCTGTAAGTCGGAACCCACCTACATAAGCACCTACATCACTCACATGGAGCACATACACAGCAGTAATGAAGTGAAACAGTAAAAAAAAAAAAATAAAAGGTCATTCCTGACCTTTACTCATGGTAAATAAATAATAAAAAACATAAAGCACATATGTACATATGTTGAAATGATGGAATTTAATATAAATAAGTGGGAGATGGCCATGAAACGACATTTGTCGAGTCTGACGTAACCTGAGGACTGTCTGTATATTTGATATCAGGGACATGAGACTTCAGAGCAAAGAAAGTTACCAAGCACTTTGCTGTCCAACTGAATATAATTTAAAAAATTACCAGGTACAGCCCTAGCCGGTTTGGCTCAGTGGATAGAGCATCCACCTGTGGACTGAAGGGTCCCAGGTTTGATTCTGGTCAAGGGCACATGCCCAGGTTGTGGACTCCATCCCCAATAGGTGGCGTGCAGGAGGCAGCCGATAAATGAATCTCTTTCATTACTGATGTTTCCATCTCTCCCTTTCCCTTCCTCTCTGAAATCAATAGAAACATTTTTTAAAAAATCAGGTACAGAGGACATTACATAATGAAAAAAGGTTCATTGCACCAAGAAGACATAATCCTAAATATGTACTCACCAAACAACAGAGCTACAAAACATCATGCAAAACCTAGTAGAATGGAAGGAACAGAAAATCCACATTTTTACTTGGAGACTCCAACATCTCTTAACAACTGGTAGAACAATTAGAAGAAAATCAGCAGGGATGTAGAACTTAACACCATCAACCAACAGGATCCAATCAGAATACTCCCCAACAACAGGATACACACTCTTCAAATGCCCATGGAACATACAACAAATCTCAAGTGTGAAAGAACTGAAATCATAGTATGTTCTTTGGTCACCGCGGAATGAATCCTGGGTTAAAGATGTAAAAGTTTCCCTCTTAAGATCAGAGACAAAGATGTCTGCTTTTGTCACTTCTATTTAACATTGTACAAGAGGTTCTAGCCGGGACAATTAGGGTGAAAGGAAAAGCATCCAGATTGGAAAGAAAGAAGTAAAAGTATTTGTAGATGATATGGTCTGGTATACAGAAAATGCTAAGTAATCCTCTTAAGAGGTTACTAGAGCCAAATAAACAGCAAGGTTACTGGGTACAAAATCGGTTGGTGATAATTGCAATGAACAATATAAAAATCAAGTTAAGAAAACGATTCCACCCCCTGAACCTGTCCCCAAGGCCCCCTTTTCTCTGACTTCTTAGTAAGCCAAAGCAGCCTAGCCTAGGCTCATTTCCTTGTTTCACTGCCCCCAGCTTTAATAAACATCCTCTAAAATTAAAAAAAAATTCCACTTAGTATAGTGTCAAAAAGAGTAAAATACTTATACATAAATTTAGCAAAATAGCCCTAGCCGGTTTGGCCCGGTGTATAGAGCGTTGGCCTGAGGACTGAAGCGTCCTGGGTTCCATTCAGTCGAGGGCACATGTCTCGGGTTGCGGGCTTGATCCCCAGTAGGGGACATGCCGGAGGCAACCCATCCATGATTCTCATCATTGATGTTTCTATCTCTCTCCCTCTCCCTTCCTCTCTGAAATCAATAAAAAAATATTTTTAGAA